TATATTATCTGAAATTTTTCAATGATTTATTTTCAAAAACACACACACTTTGCCTCCATGTATGTATGTGTCCACATGCATGCCTGGTGCCCGTGGAGTTCAGAAGAGCATGTCACATCCCTTGGGATTGGAGTTAGGGATGGCTGTGAGACCCTGTTTGGGCGCTGGGAACTGAACCTGGGTCCTCTGCAAGAGCAACAAGTTCTCTTAACTGATGAGCCATCTTTCAACTCTCACAGACTATAATGAACAGAGCATTTAAAGAAGAGAAGCAAGGCAGCACAAAAATATGGAGTGTTGGGACAGTCAACCAGATGCGGTCTGGAGGAGCTATGTGGCCCTGGAGATGCTAATGTAACTCTCTCTATAAGGGACAAGTCACCTGCACCAGCAAGGGGCTGTCCGAGCTGATAGATGCAGTGGACTTATGTGGCCCTCCACAAACAGTAGCTGAGAATTAACAGACTCATACCCCTGGAAGTGCTAAAAACGAGTATGAGTGATAGCAGGGGGTGCCCAGGCATCTAAGAACGTAGAGTGGAGAGTCGGGACAAGTCTAGGTGGCAGGAGAAAGCAAAGGTGATGGTGCCCGAGTGTCCAGAACTTACTGCAGTTCTCCTCGTCGCTCCCATCCGGACAGTCCTCAAAGCCATTGCAGCGGAAGCGACCAATGATGCAGTGGATGCCGCTGGCACAGGGGAAGAAGGTCGGGCCACATTTCGATTTCGCTTTGGCTGCAGGAGGAAAAGACACACAGAGGGCTATCAAGAGATGAAGTTCCCCGGCCACCACCTCCTCATCCCACTCACTCTGAATGGATCAGTGGGTCCTTTCAGGCTTAGCATGAAGTCCCCAAGAAACTGTAACTACTACCACTCGTCAAATGCCCAGCCAGCATGGGCACCTACATGCAGCATTTTCTAGGAAGGGAGTGGCCAACTACACTGCCTTAGAAGTCCTAAAAGGGACCTGGCAGATGGCTCAGTCAGCCAAATGCATGCCACACAAACATGGGGACCTGATTTTGATTCCCCAGAAAGTAAGCAAAAAACCTGACTGTGGTGCTATACACCTGGAATGCCAGCACAGAGGAACAGCGGATGGGTGAATCCCTAGTGCCCAGTGGCCAGGCAGCCTAGACTACTTGCCGAGTCCCAGCAAGAGACCCTGTCTCAAAAACAAGGTGGATGGCTCCTGAAGAACAGCAACTGATGTTGACCTCTGATCTCCACACTCCAGCACACGTACATGACAAGAACCTCCACATAAACACCCATCACATCCAGGCACAAAGTCCTTGAAGAAGGTAGGTGCAGGCTGCACACTACAGCAGGTGCAAGAAGGAGGAAGAGATATAGGTGAATGGGTGAGCATAGGGATGGTAGATACAGAGCTGGCCGGGGGATACAGTGTTTGCTCCTTTAGAAGCTGGAGAGCCGGTCAAAATGTATTCCCTAAATATCAAAGTGGTTGTTGTTGATATTTAGTGAGTCCTTGCCACACTAGGCAGAGTGCCAAGTACTCGCACAGATTTTCTCATTTAATTTACCCAGCAGCCACTCAGTGGGATAGCATGCAGAAAAGCAAATGTGACACTCTCAAGACTGCACCTCTCCAAAGACCCACTTGCAAGGTCATATTTTGCTTGGCTGGAGTTTGGGAATGTGGTTTGAGGAAAGGACAGGGATGGCCTGCCTCTAAGACACCTTATGCAAATTGTCCAGCCTAGTTTGTGCTACCATTTGCTTTTCCTTTGAGTCTGGAGTCTGGGAACATATTGGGCAGTCGGTGCTTGTGACAGTTAATAGTGATTGTCAACTTGACAGGACCTGGAATCACCCAAGAGACAAGTGTCTGAGCATGTCTGTGAGGGAGAATCTAGGTTAGGTGGGAAAACATACTCTAATTGCAAGACAAATGCAAGAAGGAGCTGAGTGGAGAAAACCACTTCTTGCTGACTCCAGATGCAGTGTGCTCAGCTGCCTCAAGCTTCTGCCACCAAGATTTCCCCCCCAAACAAGGAACAGCACCTTGCAACTGTGAGCCAAAACGAGCGCTTCCTTACATGGATGCTATCAGGGTATTGCAACAGGAAGAGTAACTAAGACAGTATCAGGTGATCAGCCCTTGATAAAGTCTAGGTGCTGAGTCTAAAATGAGCTTGCCTAGTGGGCAGCCCTTCACACCTGCTGTTGAAATTCAGGTAAACTGAGCTCGTGCTATAGGAGCACTCTAAGAGAGGACTCTGGGAAGCCAAAACTTGGGCCTCTCTGGGTACCAACTGCCACCATGTTTCGTCTATATTGGATTTGCATTGTATCCTTTTGATGGAAAAAGTCATGGTCCTGGAGATGATCTTATGGGGAGTTGAAAAAAATCTTAGGAAATAAAGACCCTGGGATGGCCTTGAGGAGTACTGATGTAGAGGGGTATGATGGGTACAGCTTCTATCCCTGTTTTGTGGAAACACTTTGAGGATAAAGCGACATGCTTAAGTTCACACAGCTAGGAAATCTGGTACTGAGGGGAGGCCTAGGCATGAAGCCATGACCTCAATCAACCTAACGGCATGCCTCTCTGCCAAAGGCTGTCACTTCTCCCAACAGAAGCCCCAGACGCCTGTGCTAAAGAAATTCATTTTGCACACCTGCTGTACAAACAGTTTGAACAGAAACAGTTGTAACTTGGACTTGATTTACTGTCCTGCTAAGCCCAGTTGCCCTGGGGGGTGATGCTCTTTCTAGCTAATGGTGCTGTCTGCTCCAACTGTCGATTAGGAGACATGATGGGAGATCTATGGCTAAGTGCAGGTAGCAGCCTCGCTGAGCATCCCTCCAGCCTCCTGTCTGAGAGGCTGGACCTATATTCCTCCAGGAAGGAAAGTTTATTGCTTTGGAACAAATGGGCAGTAAATTACCAGCATGATCCCACCGTCTGTATGATGGCAATTTAGGTGGCAGCTGATCCCGGTCAACAGGGTGTAAGGCCTAGACTGAGTCAAGTTCTAAAAGTCCATGTAGTCTTCATTCAGCTTGGACCTTCTGGGATGGTGTTTGTGAGTCTTTCAGGAAAGTCCTGGGAAAAAACCCAGACTCCATTTTGATGACTTTAGACACGCTTCTGAATATTGCTAAGCCCCAGTTTCTTCATCAGCAAAACCTGCTTCCTGGGGTCATGCAAGGTGGAGATGGTCGATAAAAAAGCTGGTAGAAACAATGACAATACTGGCTTTTCTTATCACTGGGACAAAATACCTGACGGGAGCTGCTGCATCACTATGTCCTTTGGAGGGAAGAGTGAGGTTCAGAAGACTCAGAAAACTAACAACTATTAGAGGCTCAAGAAGGTCACAAATTTATAAGACTTATAAGGCCCTTCCTCAAGCTTATAGAAAAGTAAACAACTGCTAAGAGATAGGAGATTTTTCAGCGGCGCTGCCTGCAAGTTATTCAAGGAGGTCTAAGGATGCGCTTTTGTGAGTTGTCACCCATGATATGGTGGGGAAGGTTTTGAGTGAGTCACCCAGACTAAACCCACTGGTCACGAAGCTAGCTAGGTTTGGGTGAAATCATTTCTTTCATCTGCCATTAGTGCCCTGACTGCCTGGCATGAACAGACATTTGCTTAGGCCCCCTTAGAAATAGTCACACAACAAAGCTGGTGGCCAAACAGGGACCAGCAGAACCAAGGATGCACTAGAAAGAAGCAATTATGTAGTCCCTGTGATGGGTGATAAGACACTCAGCTGAGGCTGAGACATCTGGAAGGACGCTGTGGCAACGGGAAGGCAGTCTCCAGCCTTGGAGCAAGCAGCTCTTCACATCCAGAAGGGTGGGTTCAAACCTGAGCTGCGTGTTCACTGGGTTGTCCTTATTTTTCCCATTTTACCAGAAGCCAGTGTTACATATGAATTAAAAGTTAGAGATATAGGTCTCTGGGAGACATATAAAAACTATAGGGTACCAGGAAATGGTATGGTGACACCAATCTCTAACTCCAGATCATGTAAGATGCACAGGTCCATCTAACACTTAGTTTTCAGGTCTCACGTGTGTGAATACTGAAGCCCAAAGAAGACACCAAAACCTGCCCAAAGTTTGACAGTTGTGTTGGGTGAATTTGGCCTTGAGCCTGAGTCAGCTGCAGAGCCCAGCCTTTCAGTTATGCTGTAGTCTGCCATAGGCAGATGCCACAGGGCCACATCAGGCTCAGATATTTTATTTGAGTTCAGATTCAACAGAGAACCAGTAAACCAAAAGCCCTTCTTCCACATGCCAGAATGTTCCAGATCTGGGACAGAAGGCTCTTCTTCACTGCACTGCGAGCCTGTGTCTCTCCATTTGCCCAGAAAGGACTCAGGGCTGCCCACCCCTCAGAAGATAATTTAGGCCTAGAGCTGGTGGCCCAGGTATCCCCAGGTGGTCACAACATACAATGGCTGGGCTAGAAGCCAGTGTGGTGACATATACCTGAAATGTCAGCACTGAGAAGGCAGAGGCAGGAGGACAGCAAGTTTGAAGCCAGCTCGAATGACCCAGTGAGATTTTGCCTCAGCCACCACTCAGTTGGGCCAGAACAGCCATGAACTCAGCCAAGCAGATCTGCCATGTCCCTCATGTAGTGGCTACCACCCCAGCCCAAACTATGGGTATCCAAGGTGTCTCCCCTTCGCCTCTGTGCTTGGCCAGATGAGGAACAGCTGCTGCTCTCCAACTTCTGCTCCAGGATCCTGCCAGTACAAAGCCAAGACAGGCCAAAGAACCAGACGCAGGAGCCAGAAGCTCTTCTGTAATGTTCCCATCTTGCTTGTAAGCATGAGACTGAGCTCACTGTGAAAGATTTCAACAGCAGAGAAGCGGGTACAGGAGAATGTGAACATCACCACCAAGTGCCTCCAGGAAGGACATTTGGTAAACATGATTCCACATCAGCAACCCTTCTCATGGCAAGACACCTGGCAGAAGCAACACGAGGGAGGAACGATTCATTCTGGGTCACAGTTTTGGGAGACTTTCAAAAGCCCATCAGGAAGGGCAGGCACGGGAGTGGGTGTGGTTTATTTACACTGCTGAGAGCGTGAGTGAGGTGGAGTCATGACAGGAAGTAAAAGCAGGGCCAGACTAGAAATCCCCAAAGACCCACCTCTGCCAGACAGGTCCTATAGCCTCCCCAAACATTGCTGCTGGCTGAGGACCACGCAATCAAACACATGAGCCCACAGAAGACATGGTACACTCAAACTGTAACAGCAGCAAGAACAATTGTGCGTAAGTGGGTCAGTGGGTCAAACCCTGATAACGCAGCAAGTTTGGAGTGAAGCCTGGTATTCTGTATGGCTCCTGAGCTCTTAGGAAATTCTGCAGCAACACCAGCCACAGTCATGTGATGCCAAAACCATCTTCTCCACTGCCCAGAAAACGTACCCAGTGTGTGAGCCACCAAGTAAGCACGGATGGAGTTAACAGGTAGATCCCAGTATGCTTACTGTATGTAAAGGGCACACAAAAAAAAACACGTGATGCTATAAAACTAGTTAGTTTCATAACTAACTAACCTCAACATACTGTCAGCCACATGTTGTGTGGGAGAGTGTGTTTCAGGGGGAGGGTGGCTGTATGTATACACACGTGTGAGTGTATGAGTGTAATTGGAGAGCACAGGTTAATAGCAGGTGTCTTCCTCAACCACTCTCCAACTACTTTTTTAAGGCAGGGCTTCTCACTGACCTGAGAGCTTGCTGGTTGAGGAAGACTGGCCAGTGAGCTCCAGGGATCCTCCCATGTCTCGTTCCCCAGTCCCCAGTGCTGGGCTTTCAGGAATAAAATACCGGGCCCCATTTTTACAGAGGTGGTGAATCAAACTCAGGTCCTCACGCTTGCAGGGCCAGCCAGCCAGCCACCGCAGCATTCTTAATGGCTGAGCAGGATTTCGTTGCATCTGTGTGACCCGTAAGTCAGAGGGTCGGTTGCCGACAGACACTTGCAGTGCTTTAAGGAACAAAGCACAACCACACAGACACAGTCATTTCCTATGGTATAATATCTCACTGATATACAGCTGCTGAGGCCAAAGCCCTGCATACTGTAGATTCTGGTGTCCTTAAGCTCATCACCTGGTGTCCTCTGGGGCCAAAGGTGTCTCCAAGAAAAGACTGCTGCCCGAGACAGATGAGAGGGAAGCTCAGTTCTCATTTATGTTAGGCAGGTCCCTAACTGTTGCATCTCCCTACTGTTCTCCACTGGTCTCGGTCTCCTTTCACTTCAACCTCTGAATATCTAATTATCCTGCAGAGGAGGGAACCATGCCATTTCTTTTACCTCCCTGAACCTGAATTTGCTATGGGACGTCTGTCCCTGCTGGAATGGGTTTCCTGGTCTGCACAGACCTCTGGCAGACACGGTGTCTGTCTCTCAGCCGCACTCCTCTCTGTGTCAGAGGCTGGTGCATGCAGGTGCTCCCTCCCAGGGCTGGCCACTGCAGAAGACCTACCTTTCCCGTCCAGCTCTGCAGGCGGCTGACAGCAGATTCACCAGAGAATGGGTCTCCCCTCAGGGAGCCCGTTATTCTCGTATTTTCATTACGCACAGACAAACATTTCAGTGGACACATCCTTGTCACAGTTGGGAAATGGTTGGAGCACGGCCCTCCCCAGGATTCCTGTGCTGACATTTCATCTCTGTGCAGAGATCTGACTGTGTTTACCCTTGAGTCCCTTTGGGAGATGATTTTGATTAATAAAGTCATCAGAATAGGGATGCCAAGACTAAATCCTGGCTGCATTAAAGAGAGGGGAAGACCAGTAGAAGCACATACATGTATCTTCCCTGTCTTACTATGTGATGTCCTAGGCTATCTCAGGACTCTGGAAGCAAGAATGTTATGACAGTTCATGCCTCCTTGAGAACCAGAAGCATTTAAAAATAAACATCTTTCCTTTATAAAGCTAACCAGCCTCTGGTATTTTATTACAGTGCCACAAAACAGACTGACACAATCCTACTTCGCAAGATTCTACTTAGGTCTCATATGCACAGAGTAGGTGATGCTATCATTCCTTTCTTCCTGGTATTATCACCACACAACCAGATAACCATTTCAAAAATCACAGCTATGAGGACAGTTGCATGGCAAATTCTGACATTATTGTTCCAAGTCTAAGTAAGAGTAACCATGAGAAGAGTATCTGCAGGCAAACTACAGAACACTTCATGAGCTTCCCTATTTCAGTAAGGCGCAAAATTATTTTTCCTTAGACATAGAAGCGGTAGGCTCATATGCTGGTTGCTGTCCTAGCAAAAAGGCCCCTTTAGAGTGTGAGAATCTTTATCAGTGTTGCCTATTCTCTAAGAATTTGCACTTTACCTGTGAACAATACAAAATAGGTTTAAGGGGGAGGAGATCTGCCCAATGTTAGCAAATTTAAAAAATGTCCCCAAGCTTTGTGCTATCTGTCAGGTCGAGACATCTGTGTGGCGAACAGTGCAGAATGCAGGCTCCGGAGGACAAAGGCGGATGAGTCTCTGCCTGCAATTCAAGAAGTGTCCTCAGGAGAGGGCTAATCTCAACTCCATGGAGGTTGACACTGTAAAAGGCTTTCAGGTATGCCTGGGGCTGCGATAACCGTTGTGCAGTCAAGATGGAAACCCATACAATAGTTACGGGCTGCAGCCACACCTACTCAGCTATGCCTTCCACACCCATTAAGGCACAGACTACTCTGTGGTATGGATGAGGACCCACAAGGGACAGGCAGGCCATGTCCTGATGTCTAGTACTTGTAGAATTAAGGAATAAAGAATATTCCAAGGAAATGGAAGAGCATGTGCCAGGGCCTGCATGTCAGAACTGTGGAAATGGAGGAGAACTGTGGAGGTGACAGCGGTGTGCGGCTTCTAGTAGCAAATATACTTGCTATCTTTTCTTCAGATAAAATCTGTATCTCGGGACTGCCAAGATGGCTCAGTAGGCAGTCACTTGACATGTAAGTGAAACAACCTGAGTCTGAAGACACAAAACCCACAAAGAAAGGAAAGAGCAGACTTCTGAAAGCTGTCTTGACAGCCAATGTGTCCCCTCTCTCTCTCTCTCTCTCTCTCTCACACACACACAAAGAGAGAACACAGACTTGTGATAAATGAATACAATAAAAATACATTTCTCTTAAGAAAAATACTGCAAACTAGCTGTAATTCAATTCATTGTAATGTTATTGAATGAATGTTACACGGAAGTATAAATTAGAAAGAAACCGAATTACAAAATCCAAGCAATTTAAATCACTGTGAACACCTCCCGAGGTGAACACCCACATTCAGCCATCATTGGCTGAAACTGCAAAAACGCAATGAGTCTGAAACTGCCACTAAATTGGGTCCCTCGGCTTGCTTTCTAACATACTGGTTCCTGTTCCACAGCCACAAATGACTTCCTCGTTGGTGGGCAAGAAAGCAAAAGAAATACAAAAACAGCCTGCCCAGGTTCTGTCAGAAGTCTGGGAAAGGGGAGCCTATCCACCGAGGTCTCCAAAGATGATGACAAATGGCCCAGAAAGCCAGCTCCTCACTGAGCCTGGAAGCCTGTGCAAATCATTATTGCCTGAGAAAAAAGCCCTCTGCCTGTCACAACCGCTCAGCTCCACGTGAAGGCTGGAGCGGACTCCAAGTTCTATTGATCCGACGTGGTCATGTATTACTTTTCGCTAAAATAACATATTGGCTGTTTGAGATGTGAGAGAAACAGCAGCAGATGCAAGCTAACTGGAATATAAATATGGCAAGAAAATACATTTGAAGCAGTTTTGCCAGAAGATTCTCTAATAGAAAACCCCTCCCAAATGGCACCTCTCTTACATCTAAGATATGAGGCTCCCAAGTGGGGAGTTAAGATGTCAGCAAGGATCAGGGTTCATCTTCCAGCCATGACACAATCACTGAGACCTAGACAAGGCACTGACTCTCCTGCAAGTCCCGTGTCTCCAACCGTAAAAAGGGGATTAGAGGTACCACGGGCGTAATCACCGGTTGTTTGAACAGAGAAGCTGGTACATGCCTGTTGTATGGGATGGATTCATGCTCCCTGACTTGCACGTGGCTCTGCAAGCTGTTACCCTGACAAAAGTGAGGAGGGGGCCACTGTCATTTTTACTCAGCTTAAGGCCGGCTCTGTGCCTTACTCACATATTCTCTCTCTCTCTCTCTCTCTCTCTCTCTCTTTCTCCCTCTCTCCCTCCCTCACTGTTTCTCTTGAATTGAACTCAGAGCATGGTTGGCAAGCACTCTACCAGTGAGTTATACCCCCAGGATTTTTGCTTTTAATTTTCTTGAGACACCCCTCTAAATGGCCCAGGCTGACCTTGAACTTGTAATCTTCTTGCTTCAGCCTCCCAACTAGCAAAATTTTGAGTCTTTTCTACCAAGGCTGGTTATCATTCTGTCTTTATGTCACACAGAAGACAAGTGTGGATGTTACAAGGAAAATAAACCAATTGACTTTTAGTAGTTAGTCAGAACAGGGATGTAAGAATGGATGGAAGCCTGCCTGAGCTCAAATCTCATTGGCTGTAAGATGAATGATACACTATTTACCCTCTATGTACCTCAACATCTGCATCAAGACATGGACATATTAATTCACCTCACACGACTACTGTGAAGAGTAAATGAGATAATATAGCAACTTCCTAGAACTTTCTCTGGAAGACAGTATTTACTAGAATTGTATCTTACAGTAAATTAATAATAGCTATAATAAAATACAGTACTACAATTAGTTTCATATAGCATTACTCAAAAATATTGGCTATTATTCATATGGTTAATATTAATTGTCATTATTATTTAATTATTTTAATTAATTACAATTTATTCACTTTGTATCCTCCCTGTACCTCCCTCCCTTCTCCCCTCCCAATCCTATCCTCCCTCTTCCCTATCCATGTCCCTCTCCCAGTCCACTGATAATATTATTAATTTTTTAAAGAGTTGACTACTATTGGACAGTCAATCAATATGTGAGGAAAGCAAAGGAGCTCAAGAGTGTGGCTCAGCCTGGGGAAGCCTTATAAAATACAGCTACCTCAGCTGGGTATGAAAGATTGGGAGTGAGTCCATAAGGATGGGGAGGGAAGGGCACTCTGGGCAAGACAAATGGTATCTACAAAGCCTCAGGGTCAGGTCAGGTTATAGAGGTCTGAGAGAAATTAAGACACCAAGAGCACAGAGCTAGTGGAATGAGGTGAATCAGAGACAGGAGGTAGGAGCCTGCACTCAACCCAGAGTCAGAGGGCATCTTTATAAAGACAAGCAAGGTGGCATACTTGTTTCTTATGAAGAGATTTCATGAATGCAAAAGCATAGTAAGAGGTCATGGAAGTGGAAATACTCTGGTACTTTCAAAGGCCTCTGGGTAGTTTGAAGAAAGACAAGTCCATAAGATTTGGGGGACCTTTAGTGGGACAAGTTGTTTAAACTATGGATGATTCAAAGTGCCTGGCATTGCCTTTTAAAGGTCCCATTATCAAGAATGACAAGGGGAAGAGGCAAAACAATGAGGCAAACCTGGGATTAAAAAATTCTTATAACCAGAAGGGGTTTCTGGTTATTTATCTGGCTATTTATAACATGCATGCATATGTGTGTATGCTGAAATGAAGATTCCAGATGCTGGAAGCAGGAAACTAAGACACTTCCAGCCCTGGCTTCTGAATCTTGAGAGGTAAAGATGGTCTTAAAAGATAGTGAATACAGGCAGGTTGGCTAACTCGGCCACATTTTTCTCTGCTC